TTTTTCTCTGTTGCTCTTTCCTTTTTCTTTTTCAAATTCCTTTATTTAAAAAAAAAACAAAAATACTGCCTGATATATGTTCTTTTATATTCATTTCTTCTTCTTCTTCTTAAGGCTTTCTCGTAACTTCATTCAAATGATTCACATGTTCAGCAAATAACTGGAAATCTTTGCATGCTTAATCCATCAATACAACAGCTGCAAAATCAGATTAATTTTGCTGCTCGATTCCAGCATAAAGGCAGCTGCTTTCATGAGAGCAAAAATAATGTAAACATGTCTTTTAAAATATACCTGCAACTACTAGGTTTTTTTTTGGGGGGGGGGGCTTTTTTTAGCATGTATTATTTCACAGTATCAAAGGCACAGTTTCATTTTCATCAATTAAAACAAAATAAAAAAATTTGGAAATCTGCTGTTATCTATCATATTGTTTATATAATGGGTTCTCAATCCCAGATATAAATAATAAACTTTAATCACACAGATTGAGTGATGTTAGCAATTTGGATCTGCCAAAGAGTAGCTGTAAAGACCTGTTTTAAATGAAAAGGGGAAAGTTCTTGACTTAATAAGGAAAAAACAAAATGTTGAATGTTGCTGAGCAACTCTTTTATTCATCACAGTATATTGTTAAAATTGTTTTATTTATTGCTGTTGATTTCTTACTGTGCCTAATAAGATCTACAGTAATAATGAATCTTTTATCACATAACTTTTATTGAAGAATATTGTTATAATTGTTCTATTTTATTATTAGTTATTGTTGTTAATCTCTCATTGTGCCTATAGAGTTTAGTATTCTCTGTGGTTTTAGGCATCTGCCAGACACCTTGGAATATTCACTGGCATGCAAAATAAGATGATTATATGCCATTATTTTATTAAAATGTTAACATTGTTTAGCAGTTTGATTTTGGCAGTAGTGTTTGCATATCTTGAGCATTGGAAAATAATTTGTTGCATTTTCATAGGGTGCCATACAACAGAGAAACCACTTAAAGCAGCTTGAAGCTGAAAAATGACAATGCAAAACTATTGAGCCAATGAAAGATCTGAAAATGATAATATGCAGTTTTTTAAGTAGGAATTGTTCAATCTTATTAATATTAATGTAAGATGCCTTGATAAGATATTATTGTTGGGTTTGCATTTTTACAGTGAAATCATGGCTAAAATCCCTGCTGAAACAAAGATGATGGTTGTGAATTTGTGAAGGTTGTATGTATGTATGTATATATATATATATATATATATATATATATATATATATATATATATATATATTTATGAATAAAAATGACAATAGGAAAACTGGTAATTGCTGATGCGTTTAGTCCAATGTGGACTTTATCAAAGCAAAATACCCGAAATGATAAAGTCCACATTGGATGAAACGAAATAGCAATTACCAGTTTTCCTATTGTCATTTTTATTCATAAATATTCTTCTCTACTGGTTAAATCAGAGAAATTTTCATATATATATATATATACATACATACACACACATACACAAGCATGCACGCACATACATATATATATATATATATATATATATACAGGTAATAATCTGTTGGTATATAATCCAAGTGAATCCTATTAATACAATATAAAATTTTAAAACTGATTCACACATAGAGCTCAGTGTTTTAATTAAACAGAGCAACATATTTCATACAACAGGAATTAAGATTACATTAGGTTAATGATCATGTTCACCTTGTAAATTGAAATAAAATTTACAGGAATTTTTCAAACCAGTGAATGGATGATAAATTATTGAAATAAAAGTGGCCAGACAGAGGGAAGAAAATGGAAAAAAAAAAGCAAATAAAAAGAAAGAAGTAGTGTAGGTCTGGATATGAGGGGTGGTCAGAGGAGAAAGGGAGAAGAAATGGCCTATTTATTTTATACATAGCAGCAATCAGAAGGTACGTAAGACTTAAAGAAAACCATAAATCTATTAACACAAATAATATTATATTAAATAAAGAGATAAACCCATTTATATGAAAGGGAGATAATTCAGAATTAAAGATATATTAAAATAAACAATATATCAGAAAAAATAATGAGAAAAATATGAAAATTAATATATTGAAATGATTATATTTAAGGATGAAGAATCTCATTTAACATCTGCATTTAAATCAAAATATTTTAAATTAAAAATGTATTTAATTCCCATCTACAAGGAAAAAAACAATTAATATTTATCATCTAATATATAATATAATGAACCAATAAGAAGATTAAATAATAAAAGTAAAAATCTACACTTAAAATTAGAAAAGAAAGTGAAAGAAGAAGTGGACAGTTTTTATATAATTTATCCTCTAAAAAAAAAAATATTAGATCACATGAGAAATAAAAAAATAAATCAAAGCACCTTGTCTGTCGTATTCAATGAAACATGCATGGAAGAAGGATTGCTGCCTAAATACACAAATATATGCACACACACACACACACACACATACACACACACACACATATATATATATATATATATATACACACACACACATATATATATATATATATATATATATATATATATATATAAAAATAAATAAAAGTGAACATAAAGTCAACACTTAGAGGCAACAGTCTGTTTCATGCTATATGCAATCGTCAGGCCAATGGCCTGACGATTGCATATAGCATGAAACTAAGTGTTGACTTTATGTTCACTTTTATATTTATTCACATGCTCTATCTCTGATATTGAGCACTTTATCCCATAAATATAGCACGCCTTAAGACTATATTTCTTCATCTTCTTTATATATATATATATATATATATATATAGGATGAGGAAAAACCTAGAAGCAGCAGAAATGTGGTTCTACAGAAGAAAATGCCAACAGAAAGAACACTTCTACTCAAACTCAGGAAGAGAGAGAGAGCTGAAATCCCTTGGACACATGATAAGAAAGGAGATCTTGGAAAACTTAACCCTCATGGGGTATACTGAAAGCAAGAGAGATAGGGGAAAGCAATGTCTCATGTTCCTTATGAACTTATGTGAATGGATGGCAGGGTGGGGCTTTAACAAAGGGAGAAAAATTGATAAGAGGCACATGAGGTAAAAAGCTGTGAAGAACCATGATTTCCTATTTCCTGTAGGGATACAGCAGATAGAAAATGATGATGAAGATGAATGTTTAAAATTCCATATCTCTTTAGGATCTAGCTGATCATGGCTCTCCACAGATTCCTTTTCTTTATCATCTGTGAATTGCCATGATTTCTTTGGAAAGATAATCGAGTGGTTTCTTGCTGCCTTCTCTACAGTTTTGAATTCAAAGTTTTTCTTTTCTTGGTCTGACTAATATGCAAGGTCTACAATTTTATTTAATCCATAGCTGGAGCAGAGGAAGAAGAGATATGTTTAGACCCTCCCGAAGAACATTTATTCCAAAGTGAATTTAACAGAATTTGAAGTTGGTTCTCTACTTATAAAATGAATAAACTCTGAAATACTTTTGTAAAACAAAGAAAAAACATTGATTCTTTGGCAAGGAAACCTGATATATTCATGTTTATGACCATTGGTAATGTTGAAATTGATTCCAAGGAAGGAAGGTGTTTACCTGAAGAGAAAAAAAATGTAATCAGACATGTTTTTTTTAATAAGCTTAGCTTTGTATGGCATAATGCCAAACATTAAGAAGTGTTTAACCAATCTTACAAAATGATTTTTACTTGGCCTTAAACACCAGCATCTGGCACTGGTTAGTGAATGTGTGGGTGGTGTAATGGATAGCGGCTAAGAATAAGAATTCAGAAAGCTCAGTTTGAATTCCAGTCAGTTTATTACAATTACTTATGCACAAATACACTTGGGAAATATATGAATCCCTTTCATCTTGCCAGCTATGGGTTAAATAGTAGGTAGGACATGTATCTGGAAAAATCATTGTTATTCTCAAAAAATTGTTAATGCAATATTCATCTGCAAAAAATAGGATTATTCTTACGATCCAAAATCTGTTTTGGCTTTAAATAACCCACAATGCGTTGATAAAAAAAAACAAATCAATCTGGTACAGGTTGTAAATTCATCAATGTTTCAACTCAGAAGCAAGCCTAATATTTACAGTGTATATTAAGCCAAATATGACAAAATTTGAAAATAGCAGATTATATCAGGCAAATTTTTTCAATGGAGAAAAATCAACATAGAAAATTATGACCATCACTTAATCTCAAACACCAACCTCTGACACCTCTGTTGTTTGTATTAATATCTTTACTATTCTGTTTGTTACTATTATTATTGTGACCATTATTATTAGTAGCAGTACTATTTAAAGGAAAGCACAAAAGTATAGAGACTTGATATTTACTGAGTTTAGCACAAGGTCAAATATAGAGGAAAAAGAGAAGAGGAAGATTATATTAGACAAATTCTCACAGTGAGGAGGGCTTGCCAGCCTTGGAAATCAGCATTCAAAATCTTGGCCTTTGCTTTGGCTCAAACCCTAACCTCTGACACATTTGTTGTTGTTATTAATATATTTAGTGTTTTGGTTGTCACTAGCCTGACTATTATTATTATTATTAATAATATTATTATTCAAATGAAAACACAAAAATATAAAACCTTACTATTTACTAACTTTAGCTAAGTATGGCAGAGTGAACATGGGGTTTAAGAAGAATGCATTGCACTTATTTAAGAGATGTCTTGCAAACTCAAAATTCAAAATCCTGGCCTTTATTTAATCTCAAACACCAATCTCTAACACAACTGAGAAATATGTAGCTTACTCACCAGGCAGGCCTGTTTTTCTTATTAATATGTTTTTTATATTCTTATTAATATATTTCATAATAAGATTGTTGTTGTTATTTAAGTGAAATAAAAACAAAAATCTGTTTATATTTCTGAGATGAGGTATTATGTACACTATTTACATTATTCGGACTATTGTCCTCATCTTTGTCGCCATATTTATTACAACGTTTCAGCAGTTGTACACTCCGGGCT